CCCCTCTCGCGTACAGGAAAAGACAAGCAAGTGTCATAATAGGCCCCGGCCTTGCGGCCGCCGATGACTACCTCGTCGACGAACATCTCACTCTTAGGGGCTTTAGCTAATGCCGTCCAAGAAGCTAGCGGGTCTGATCTAGACCACTCCTCCGCTAGCTCCTCTAAGGACTCGAACGCATTCATCAAACAAAGGCTCGATGGGTCTGAATGTGTTTGCGGGACGACAACGGAGTCTGTAGCTTGGGCCATCTCTCGAGATGGTGAGGGTGTGTCCACCACCTCGACCCTAGTAGGAACAACTACTATCCCTACTGGCGCGATGTGTTTCTCGGAGCACTGCCAACGCCTGCCCCATCGTGGGCGGGATCTTCTCGGTCACATTTTTGTTACGACACTTGAACTGATTATGGCCGTATTGGCCACAACGGATACAAGCTTGCCGGGTGTACCAATCTCTCCACACGTCCTCTATGAGACCCGCTTCCTCCCATGGAGGAGCATTGGGGTCCACTTTACTCCTAGACCGGGAACCTCCACGGCGTCTACCGGTTGCCTTACCTTTTTGTACCGAGGCAGCAACGACTACTCCACCCCCTGAAGCCTCTACGCTGCCTGCCTCTGAACCCACTCCGGCCTGGAAGTTGTCTTCCAACTCGATGGTAGAACCATCGTTGTCGACGAACATAATGCGACCCTTCGCCTTCCCGTTGGGAGGCAGTGACTTTTTCCTACCATCTGTTGTGGGTGTTTGTCCATGCCCTATCTTTGCCTCCAGGTCTAGGGCCTTCTTGCTGAACGAGGGGAAGTTGTGCATGTTGATGTTGGCCTCACCTGCCAACTGATTCCTGAGAGGCATAGGAAAACATCTCAGGTAGGAGGTGAGTAAAACCTGGGGGTCATAGTGCACCCCAGGGACACTCGAAGTGTCTATGGTTCAGAGTCACGATTTTGTCAGTGCCTTATGAGCCTCTTGAGGATCATGCCACTCCTCTTCTACCAGCTTAAGGAAGTCATCCAATTCATATGACCGCCCAAGCGCGGAAGTCATGACTGTATCCCTGTAACTGCACTAAACCAGTCAACCATCTTGCTGCACTCCCCTCTAAATAAGAGGCAGCCACATGCACTTCCTCGTGTGGCAAGGTCAGTTTACACTTGACGTAGACCGGCACTGACCTCAACCATGTGTCAAGGTCTTCGCCCCTCTTGTCCCCTGAAAAGGGTTTGGGCGAGGCGATGGCCGTCTTTGGAACCCACAGTGTTCGTCCCGACACCTGTCCCACTCCAGGTTTTGGACCTTGGGGACTAGGCTGCTGCACTTGCTGCCGCTGGGGCTGTGTACTCTGCGGCTGTGCAGGCTGCGAGACAGCAGGCTGCCCTGTCACGGCAACTTGCGACAGAAGTTGGGAGTACACTGTCTGTACAGGAATCTGTACACTAGGACCTGCCAAGAACCCTCCTGTTAGCGGCATACCTAGGGAACCGGCTTGGACCGATGTTGGGGAGACATATGGGGATACCCCAGTCACCGGTGGGACAAAAGGAGGAGGATGTACAACGGGCCAGGCACCGGGCCCGGACGGTGATGGTGCTGCCTGCGCTCGCCTAGCAAGTACGGTCAGACTCTGCTGAATGTCTTGAAGAAGAGCCGTATGGTGGTCCTGCATTTCTACTACATTTAGCAGGACGGACCGTAGGGTCCTCACATTCATCAGGTCCATCTCCTCTGACTCACTAACGCCGGCTTGTCTCCGCTGCATCCTGGCTCTTCTTCTAATCATTTTCTCTTTCTCTGCCTTAATCTCTCCTAACGTGTGCTGTAGCTGTTCCTCCCGAATAGCTGCTCGCTGTATGGCGACCTCCTCGGGGGTCAACACCATCGGCTGGCTTGCCATAGCGCCAGTGGACTGACTTAGGGTCTGTGCGACCGTTGACCCTACAGAACTTGAACCACTAGCCTGAGAGGTCTGCTGCGCAGCGGTGGCCATGGCTGCTGAAGTAGCGGCCTCGCTTGCAAATGCCCTGCTTGCCTCTGCGGCCCTAGCTCTACACTGCTGTGGCTGCCTCTCTCTCGGCTGGCGGAATAAGAGTCTGTCGCCCTCTGGTCCTAATGACAAGTGGGCTATCGGACGTCTTGCTGACCGCAAGATCCTGTCGTCCGGTTGTGGGACCTCCTTGTCACTCATAGGGTATAACGCTGTACACGATCTGCACTAGGACACTCCTGATGCCTACCGCAGCATGATGTATAGACCGATTTCAAATAAATAAAATAAGTAATCGGTGGCTATGTCAGAGACGATGCATTTGGGTCCAACAGAGTTCAGATTCCTACAAACAAAACTATTCTACTTTGACTAGTCCGCAAACAGAAAGCACAATGAACAGAAAACAGTTCTAGCTATGCTGTTTGTCAGATGTTAATGGCTGTACATCTAACTAATCAAAATAAGAACAGAATCGTTTGTTGGGTCTGTTTGCAGAGTGGAATCTTTCCCAAACTTACCACCTGGAATCTACCCCTCCCTCGGTTCTTCCTGAATGTCTCTTGTCGGCAGTGTCCCTGAGCAATCGGGACAGCGTGCGTGTCTAAAGGTGTGCACACGGCCCACCCCTGTGCCCCAAGTCCCGCTGAGGTGGCCAGCCCTGCACACTATTTATCCTCACGTGCAGCGAGCCTTACACCGACCAATTGGCTGATCAGACGGCCCCTGAAGTCCTCAGGAATTATTTAACGTCGCAAGCAGGACGACGATCACAGCCAATGGAAGGTCCCCGCCGGTACTTATTTATAGATGTACGGTACTCGTCTTTCCCATAGGGCTGGCCTGCCCGTCACAACCCCTCTATAGCGTTGAGCAGACAAAGTACAAAGCAGCAAAGCATGCGTGCTCTACTCCCGGTGGGTTGGCATGGTGACCGTGACCCAGTGCTTCGTCCAGGGCCCTTCAGATAGCTCCGCCCTCTCCTTCCAGATGCTCCACGTGAACACTGACGACTGTCAAGGTTGAGCGCACACAACTCCTCGCATGAGAGGACTCTCAAGACAGAATAGACATCCTCACGGTAAGAAGTGTCGAAGAGGGTAGATAAGGTTAGGTGCAACGTACCTCAAAATAGTTGCCTCCAACCACAGATATTCTCACCAGATGACCTGATGCCGATTGTGATGACCAATCGCTGCCTCGGCACAAGCAGCATTAATACCGCCGTTCCACCTCAGCATCAATCGCACATCAGATAGTTCTCATCACACTGCGAACACCCAATAATCACCACATAGTAGCCTTCCTGGTGATACCCCTCACCTCCTGGGTCGCCTCACTTGTCTCCACCCTCCTCACTACACACCTCCCACGGCCGCTCGCCCAGCAGACCACGTGCATGTACCGCATAGGCAGAAGTTAAGCACCAGATGAGCGCACCGTACCACAGCTCCGATACCAAATTTCAAGGACAATGAGCGATAGCGAACTTCAGAAATCAAACAGCGTCATACACATGAGGCCAGATAGTCGTGACCTCGGAACCAATAGCAGAATTGCATCACGAGTTTCACCAAATAAGAGCACAGCAAAAGCTCATAATTGACAATGCTGGAATAGTCTCATCATCATCAACGAAGAACCAATGTCGATATCCTATCTGGCGCTCGGCGCCCAGACTACAGGTGGCAGATCCTATCTAGCCTATCTACAATGCCGCTGATGACGTCAACAGCTCTCGGCCAATGCCGTAAGCCTCAAGCACCAGGTATGTCTCTCGTATCACTCACAACCTTGATCCCCAACTCACAGATGCCACATGCACCCAAGAACCACCATGCGCCCCATCCAGCATACAGCAGCGCAGCTCGGCTATGGCTGCCTGCTCCTTNCAACTCACAGATGCCACATGCACCCAAGAACCACCATGCGCCCCATCCAGCATACAGCAGCGCAGCTCGGCTATGGCTGCCTGCTCCTTCCAGCTCGCCCGTGAGAGCGTAAGCGCTGGTCAGAGTTAGCGCAGCAGCGCTTGCGCAGCATGCAGCCAGTGCCCGAATGCCCAATGCGAAGGCAGGCCCTTCCCTATATCGAAGTGGCCTGTGGCTTCTGCGTGCGGTAATGCGGTACTGGGCCCCGGCGTAGAAGTTTCTGGTAGGCCCGAGTGGCTGAGCCCCAGTCGCTACAGAACAGGCCCTGAGCCTGAGTTAGTTGCCCGTACCGAACTGCTCACTGCCTGTGTTCGGTCCATATGAGGGTCTGGCCCAGGGCGTATTTCAGATACATTTCTAAAATGGATGCCTGGGCCTGGGCGCTTGTAACCAACTGACGCTGCGCAACTGTCTGAATTTCCCCAGTTGCGTGCTGGCCTAAAAAGGGGCCCCTTGGCCTGAGTCGAGCCTACCTCCACTTAGGGCGGCCGACAACACTGCAAACAAGGCCGAGGGGCTCATCGGGGCCCTAGGCCTCGCACTATTCCGGGGGGATGGGGGAGGGGGTTATAAATTGGGATTAAAGGGGTGTAAATGGGGATGTCTGAGTTCTTTTTTTTTTTTTTTTCCATCTTTTTTATATTTGATTCAATAAGCAATTCTGAGTGGGGGTTATGAATTGGGCTTAAAGGGGCTTAAAGGGGTTTAAATGGGGATGCCTGAGTTTGATTTTTTTGTTCTTTTTTATCTTCACTTCAGTAAGCAATTCTGCGTGAAGTTGCCTTGAACCCTCAGCCAAGAGTTGTTTGAATTGCAATTCTACACAACATCTTTTCAGAGTTTTTCTTGTTGATTTTTGTGTTTTTTTTTGCACAGGGGCTGCCGGGGACCAGCTGGGCAGCCTGGGCGTGTGTTCAGGAACGCTATTCGTGACCAGGCGCACGGACAATTAACCCAGGTTCCATGTTCATTTTCTGCTGTCAGTTGATTGTAATCGGGGCAGCCAAGATAAGGGTTGGAGTGTAGGAATGTTCTAATTTGGAACAACTTTTGTTCCGTACCTTTTGTTATTTCTGTTCTAGGCTTATTGCAATCGTGGCAGCCAAGAGGGATCGAGCAGTCCTTTAGCAGAAATAGAGGTGGATGTGAACGACTGTGCTTTGCAAGAGCCAGATCATCTGCGGAGCAGCAGGTCAGCAAAGGAGCAGTCAGGGGAAGGGCGTGCTGACGCGAAACACAAACATTTGTCAAGAGAGGCAAATGCAGCCAAGGAACAGAATGCGGAGCACACAGCCAAGGCAAAGTTCGATACAAAGGGAGAACAATTGTATCAACCCGGCAAAACAGGTCAGGAACGGAATGCAGGACCGGCGGAGGGGGGTCATCTTCTTGATCTTGAAGGAGGACATTTGACTTTGTCAAAAGATGCGGCAGGTGTCCAGGAACAGAATGTGGAACAGCCAGGAGAGCCACATTATGTTCCTGGACTGGAGATGGAACAGATGAGAGAGGCACATTTTGTTCCTGGACCGGATGTAGAACTGACGAGGAAGGCACATTCGGTACCTGGAACGGATGTGGAGCGGACAGGAGAGGCGTGTCTTGGTACGGATGAAGAAAAATTGTCATTTGAGGTGAAAGAAGGTGCTGAGGAGCAGAATGTAGAGGACATGGTGGAGGTGTGTGTTGATGCGAATGAGCCACAACGACATTGGGTAAAAGATGTTCAAGAAGCCCAAGAAGAGAATTTGCAAAATGGTGGTATTTCCAATCCGGTGCCCATAAGAAGGCTGAGTCCGGATGAACTGAAGAAAAAGAAGGGTGTGAGGAAGCTTGCAGAGATGCTGTTTCTTATTCAAAAGGTACTTTGTCAACTTCAGATCATGTCCGTCCGGTGTGACCAGTTGTGTGGCATCTTATCTATCGCTTGGATTGTGTTGTGCCTTTCTGAGGCCATACTCAGACTAGAACTTTCCGAAATGTATCTAGCGATTATGGCAGACCTGGATGAATCTGACTGCAATCATGTCCAGAGCTTAGTAGAAAAAGTCCTAGTGTGAGTATGCACTCGTTGTTTTAAGGTATGGTGCCTGCCGGTACATCACCCAGGTAAAATTGAGAATTGAAATCGAGCTAATCCAAAGTTTTTGGAGGCTTGGGGCCACCGGACCAAAATGGCTGGCACCACCAGCCAAAAGAAAATAAAAAGCATTGCGCTGTCCTTTCCACAAAACTTGTTGCGTAGGGGGAATCCACCTCGGCAAAAAGAAAGAGCGCTCAGATGTACTTGTAGTTTAAGGAAAATATCTGCTGTGAGGCAGGTTCACCTTCCTGATCAAGGAAGCCAACCCCTGCTCTGCTACCTGAGGAAATATCTGTTGTGAGGCGGCTTTGCCTGCCCTTATCAAGGAAGCCTGCTATGTAAACCACCAGTCGAGCCAAGCCTATTTGTGCAAACGCCCCCACCGGGCCTGCCCAGGCTGGAAAGACACTCCATCACACCAACTTTACTTGAAATATGTTATTCCTTTTTTTTTTTTTTTTTTTAAGGCTAGGTCCTTTGAGCCCAACTAATTCAATCACCTGTCGAATCTGACTGGGAGCCTTTTCAGGCCTTTTATCATTACAAGTGTACCCGCTGCGGTTACGCCAGTGGCGCAAGGGAGGAGCATTTGGCAGCGAGAGGGAGGGGGGCAAAGTGTCCTTTGTAGAGAGAGAGAGAGAGAGAGCACAGTTGCATGCAGGGCCGATGTCGAATCTGACTGGGAGCCCTTTCAGGCCTTTTATTATTACAAGTGTGCCTGCTGCGGTTACGCCCGTGGCACAAGGCAGGAGCATGTGCCAGCGAGAGGGAGGGGGGCAAAGTGTTGGATGGAGAGAGAGAGAGAGAGAGAGAGAGAGAGAGAGAGGGGGGGGGGGGGGGGGGGGGGGGCACAGTTGCATGCAGGGCAAATGTGGGGTCGCTTTCCAGACCCATGCGTCGACTATGAAAGGCGGCCACGTCAATGAGTGACAGATCGATGAGGGGCACAGTTGCATGCAGGGCCAATGTGGGGTCACTTTCCAGAGCTATGGGTCGACTATGAAAGGCGACCACGTCAATGAGTGACGGATCGATGAGCGGGGGGGGGGGTGAGGCAGAGGGTGCGGGGGGAGAGAGAGAGAGAGTCTCGCTCCACTTTTCACAACATGCATAAAAGGCAAAAAATATGGCAATGCATCTTTCAATGTTCTAGCTGAAGATTCATTCTCATTTTGCACATGTTGATTGCGAAAGGTGACCACGTCAACGAGTGACGGATCGATGAGCGGGGCAGGGGGCAAGGGGCTGGTGGCGGAGAGCGAGCGAGCAAGAAAGAGAGAGAGAGAGAGAGAGAGAGAGAGAGAGAGAGAGAGAGAGAGAGAGAGAGAGAGAGCACAGTTGCATGCAGGGCTGATGTGGGGTCGCTGTCCAGAAGCATGGATCGATTATGAAAGGCAACCACATCAATGCGTGACGGATCGATGAGCGGGGGGTGGGAGGGGGGGGAGGCACAGAGAGAGAGAGAGAGAGAGAGAGAGAGAGAGAGAGAGAGAGAGAGAGAGAGAGAGAGAGAGAGAGAGGATCTGTAGATAATGGGCCTCGCTGACCACATGCTCGAAACACACAATATGGCGATGTATCTTTCCACGTTCTAGCTGAAGATTCTGCAAGGAAAATGAGACAGAGCGATAGACAGAACACCAAATTGCAATATCACGTTGAAGACCAGATAGTTGTGCACCAAGCAGAAAGCACAATGCACCAAGATACAAGCCAAATAAGAGCAATACAATGAATTCAAATATCAATGTCGGCACTCTCTCGCCACACCAACATAGTATCCAATGTCGCCTTCTTGATCGGCGCTCAGCGCCCAGCCTATCCTACTCAGCAAGCTCACACGCACATGGTACTGTATAATTCCATGTTCTAGCAGAAGATTCATTCGGTTTTGCCTTTCCTTTTTTTGATTGATTGATTGATTGATTGGTGGGGGCGGGGTCGCCCCCCCACCCCCCACACGAGCGCGCACGCACACACACACACACACACACACACACGTAGTCCTGTATAATTCCATGTTCTAGCGGAAGATTCATTCGATTTTGCCTTTTTTTTTTTTTGATTGATTGATTGATTGATTGTGCAAAGAATATGAGCAAGAGCGATATACAGAAAACCAAGTTGCGAAATCACGCAGATGCCCAAGTAGTCATGTACGAGCAGAGAGTGCAAATGCACCGAGATTCCATTCAGATAAAAGCAATACAATGGACTCACAAGCCAATGTCCAAACCCTCAGGCCACACCAACACCGTATCCAATGTCGCTCCTACTCTGTCTGGCGCCCAGCGCCCAGCCTACACTACTCGCCTATCCTACAACACCAGCGTTCACGCAACAGGCTCACTTCGACCTTGAAGACCAATGTACATGACGTCAACACCATAGCTGACCTTCCTCATGCATCAGGTATGTATGTCGTCTCTCCTCATCACCCCTGACTTCCCACAGTGTGCATTCTCAACACCCAAAGACCACCATCGCCATCCAGACCTGCGCCCAGCAGCCCAGCTATGGCTGCCGTGCGCCACTGCCCAGCAGTGCACCTCACACCTCAGCGCCCGTGCGCGCGACCCAGCCGGCAGCTTCGTGCAGACCACGAAGTTGCAACGCAGCAGCGTGGCTGCATTGCCTGCCTAGGCCAGAATGACTTGCCCAGCAATGCTCACTTTCCTATATGGAAAGTGAGCTCAGCCTCTGCTGCCTCTTGGGCCTGGCTGGGCGAGCATCCAGTAGCTTCCAGTCGGGCCTCAGTGTCTGCGTCCAGGCCCAGTTGCAGTTACGGCTCGGGCCCTTTACAGTTGGGCACGTCCAGGCAGTCCACGGGCCTCCACATGTTCGCTGTGATCTCATTGGCTCACGGCCACTTTGTGCCGACAATGCTGCAATCTCATTGGTTTGTGGCTGTTGTAAAATGTGTCGGCCTCTGAAAGCACACGCCCAGGGCCTTAACTGTACGGGGCCCTGGGCTCAACTGCCCGTCGGGGCTGCAACTTCCGGAAAGAGCCTGGAGAGGCTCACGTTGCTCTGTAACCAAACTGGCATGCTACAACTGTCTGATACCCACATATGGAAAAATGTCAAATCTTGGCCTCTTGTGAATATTCAGGCCCGCCTTCACTTAGGGCGAGCACAGGGCTTGCTGAGGGCCTCTGCCCAGAACATGTGCATGTCTGTTAAGGGCCCCGCAAGGGCTCATTCCCCGCACATATACAACCCCTTTTGGGTGATCACCCTGGCCTGTGCCCAAGGCCTTGGCACATATTGGCAGGCCCGCCTTCACTTAGGGCGGGCAAGGCCTTTCCCAACACTGTCGAGGGACCGGCGAGGGGTCAAATCCTCGCATACCTTCCACCTTAGCTTTGAAAGTCCCGTGAGAAGCCTTTAAATCCTTCATCCACCTGATGTCTGCAGTAACTTGGTGCAGTAGAACTTCTTGGAAGATGCAGAAGATATGACGTCCAGGAGGCCTTGCTTGGGATGTCTCTATCCATGGTTGGGGGCAGCACGCATTCTTAATGAATGATAGAATCAGTTTTCATCATCTATGCGTGCAGGCAAGTATCCTACAGATTGAGGAGGCTTTACTAGAAGGTGCCAACCAGATTAGAAACCAGACCGGATATCAGATCAGACTGCTGACTACCCCTTTAATTAGCTATTGTAGTATTCTAGATGTCAAGTCTTTATGTAACTGCTCATGGCCTACCCTAGACTCATTCTCCGTACTTGACATAAAGTCTTTCTACTATACAGTGATCCTGAGCAAATCAACAACCCACATCAGCTGCTTCTGAATAAATTCTGAGCTGGCATACAGTTGTGTTGATAGTCAAGTTTGAGATAGGAAGGAGTCTACTAGTATAAGCGTGCAGCATAACTGCCACAACGTACAAAGTCCTTTTTCGGGGCTTCGGGATGTCTTCCTGAAGGTATTTCGCAGTTAGTTGTCCTTCTATCTCGGCCACTTGCTTTTTTGCAGTGTGGTTATAAGGTTGACATCTTCAGATTGTTTGAGCGGTTAGGCAGTCTGATAACTCATGTAGGTCTGTCCATACCTTAGTTAGCCCTTGAGATCTCAGGAATAGCGATTACCTAGCTTACTGCAAAGATCAGTCCTTTCCGTAAAATACCTTACATTTTTTTTTCTCATACATTTGAGAAACAGATCCAAACGGAGAAGGAAGGTTTTGTATATCATTCAGGACAACCATAGGCATTAGCGTAGATTCTCTGCTTTCTATCCGAGTTCGAAGTGCCCAGTCACATGTTTGTTTTCATTCTAAAAATAAACTACTCAAAGGTGTTTATCGTAATTTTCCAATTACTAGTTCAGAAATTAAGTTTTATATTATTTATTTGGAGAACCTCAGTCTCCGCGTCCCCATGTCTTTTAGTTAGATTTTCATACATATAATGATCCCTAGGGGTACGTGTATGGCCCTATCCATCTCTCCTTCGTTTGATTTGCCAGTCGTCATCTCTCAACATACTTAAAGTATCATCCTGTCGTTCTTTCCTTCAAGGGAAGGAGTGTTAACTATCTGTTGGACAAACACCCTGTCTATGATTCCTGGCCAGTTCCAAGAAGAATACGGACATACTTAGCGACAACATTTTCTTTCTCAGAAGAAGCTTGATAGGCGCTTCCGAGGTTCAGAGATTAGGCAAATATCCCACCTGTGGTTTTGTATGTCCCCATAGGAACAATTCAACCTTGAAGTGGTACCTCCTAGCGGAATGTCACATAAAGCTTGTCGCTATCCGGCAAACGAG